CTCTCTCTCTCTCTCACACACACACACACACACACACACACACACACACACACACATTCTTTCTACTATAATATAAATCCTAGCCATTTACATGTAGGCTAACTTTGAAGAGAGAGAAGAGTAAAATATTTTAGCTTCAAGTGACTAAAAATAAATGTATCAGAATTTATACATCAAATATCTGAGATTCCTTTCAAAGTAATCACCTTGAGAAGCTTTAAAGTTTGGAAAGTTTTCTTGAGGAACAGTTTCCACAACTTTTTACATCTTTTAAATATTTTCAATACTGACAAATATTCATTGTTGAGGATAATTTCTATTTTGGAAACAGCTTGGTCATTTGGAACCAAGTTTTGTAAATCAGAAATAGTGATGTAGAATGGTAATAATATCTTAGTTCTTGAGAACATGGCTTTGGAGTATGATAGTCCCAAATTTGAATCAGAGCAGTACCACCCTAACCTCTACCAAATTATTTAAATTCTCTGAGCCTTAGTACACTCATCTGGAAAACAAGTAATGTATCATCTATCTCAAAACCATTGTGAAGATTAAATGGAATACTGTATATATAATTTCTGGACATATATATAATACTTGTATATGTATGGTAAATAATAAATGTTTGTTTTCTCCTCTTCTCCACTGTTATTTTAATAATTATTTCAAAGTGTAACCACATATAATAAATATGTCACTTATAACTTGAAGAAAGTGACTTTTCAGTTTATCCATTTTTCAACTATTGAATTTTTTTTTTTGCTTTAAGTTATATGAAACAGTATTATGATGCAAGTATAATTCATTGGGCAACTCACCTGTGAAAACCATCTTTTAAAACTTCTTGCCTCAAAATAATTTCAGAACAAGTGGCCCTTATGCCTATAAGAACCAAAAGATTTTTTTAAAAATAAAATAAGCACTCAGTGAAAGAATAGTTAAAATAATTAGAAAATAATTGTTTGAAATAGGCTTCACGACTGGAAAATCTAGCCAACCTAAGAATAAAACAAAAACTTTTAAAACTTAAGCAAGTTAAGCTACATATAAATCTACCTCAACCCCTCCAGTACAGGGGTCAAGAACACTGACTTTGGAGTTATATTGTCTCGTTTCAAATCCCAAATGTGTGGCTTTGAGCTATAAAATAGTTTCTCTCTCTGCCTCTTGTCATAAGAACTTAAATATCTAGAAGTACTTAAAACAGGGCTTACCACACAGTAAGTGTTATATATAAGTATTTGTTATTAATATTACTTTATTCAGGTGATCCCAGGACACAAAACAAAAACAAAAACAAAACAAAACAGAAGGACTAGGGAGCCAGGATATCTGCTTTAATCCCAGTTCACTGAAACTTTCTATCAAATACATACTGGCAATTTCTGTATTCTACCATCCACACCTATAAAATTGAGACGATGGTACATTTATGCCTTGTGGGGATGTTGGGAGGGTTTTAAAAAAAGAAATACTGAAGGCTTTTTCAAAAGTTCAAAGGGTTCCTTTATAAACTTAGAATAGCCAGAAATCTCACTATACTGACTCTACATAAAATTCAGACAGAAAAGTTATTACTCAATGTCAGCATCATAAAATTAAAAATTCAGTTACTAATCATCACCAACTCTGCCAGGCATCCTGCTACATAACTTCATTTTCAAAAGCTAGAAGTGTGTAGGAAGAACATTAAAACAAACACACAGAAAACCATATACTATTGTATGTTGCTTAATCCATTAGATGTAGTCCTGAAAACATGCATGAAAAAACAAAAGACGTGCAGATAAAAACATTTGTAATATACAAGGGAAGGAAGGGGGAAAATAGCATTTATTAAATATCTATACAACATCATCTATTTGGGGCTTTCACATGTGTTTTAATTTTCACAACTTAGCAAAACAGGCAGGCAAAATCACTGCATTTGTACAAAAGAGGAAAACTGACTTATAAACAGTTACTAACTGGCTCTGGATCTCACAACTAAGTTAAGAGACTGATTAGAAGCAAGATCTGCCTGACTTTTAAAGCCTAAGATATTTCCACCCTCCTATTTAAAGAAATCCTTATTTGCTTTGCAGAAACATTATCTAATCTTTTCCCAAATAACTTACTGAATCTCTTATACAAATCCAGATGTTTCTTCATCATGTTTAATTTTAGTGGGGAGTAAGGGTTTATATCTACCAATATATTAAACTGGAAAAAGTCAGATTAATAGGTTTTTTAATTCTATTGGAATATACACTAGAGAGTAACAAATCACATTCATCTTGGGATGTTAGAAAGTCTAATTTACAAACGGAATAGCAAATACTAGACTATTTAAGATTTGTAAGGAAAAAAATCATTCAAAATGAATGTGTTACACCTGAATTCACCTTCAGGATTTTTCCTCTTAAATATTACTTTATTTGGTTATTGTGGCCTAAACTGGCCCTGGAAATTGACCCCCTTTTAAACACAAAATACCAGAGCTGTAACAGGGTCTTTAGAGATCACCAAGTCCAGTTGTTTAAAAATTCTTTTCGGCTTCATAATCTTTTCTTCAAAAAAAATTGGAAACCTAATATGTAAACACACCAAAGCAGTGCTGCACTGGCAGATACTGGTCTAATATTCTCATTTTACAGATGGAGAAATTCACGTGGTTTGTACTGACTTGACTTTCTCTAACAAATGTTCTTACTGATTCTAAATACCACAACTGCAAGACTCTGTCTCCCCAACGACAATGAAAGCTCCACGAGGGTTCGGGCCAAGTTTAACTCAGGGCTGGATCCACAGCACCTAGCACAGCACTCAAGCCCACGTTCTGGGGCCCAAAGAAAGGAATCGAGCCGCTTTGCGCAGCCCAGAATCATAAAGAAACCCCAGACCAAACCAATCTATTATTAAAAATGTTTGTAAGACAAAAACAACTCGTCCTCCCCTCCCCAAGGCCCCGGGGTCTCTGTATTCTGGATTGGGATTCTCGCACCTCACGGGGCACGGGGGCCTTGCTGGCCCCTCAGCGGTCTGAAGCTTCATGCATCCCAAGACGCCTCCATTCACAATATTTTAGTAATAGTGCGGCCAGTCCTGCCTCGCAACCACAAAGCCCGCCTCTCCAAGAGCGACCAGGGAGCTACGGAAGACCGGCGTGAGAAAGGAGGCACGTCGCTTTTGTTTTTAACCTCCTCCAGCTCACCCTCCAGTTCCAGGGTCGCGCGACGGGGCAGAGTGAAGGGCTTTTGCGAACCGCGCAGGTCGAGGATCCAGGAGTTCGGGGTGCCCCCAACCGACTCGGCCCTCAAAGCCCGCCCCAAAGCCCGCAGTCCCGTCCCTCCCTTTACCAGCGTCGGTGGAGGCGGCAGTGAGGGCCGTGGCGGGCGCCCAGGTGAGCCCGGCCGCTTCCCAGAGTAGCAGCCAGGCCACCACTCGGACGGCCACGGCCCGGGCAGCCAGGGCGCCGGAGAACGCGCGCCCGAGAGGAGCGCGCCTGAATGAAATGCGGACGGAGAAGGCTGCATACGCTTCACGCCGCGCTGCCACGGGGTTAGTGACCCAGCCGGAAGCCTCGGTGTGCGCACGCCTTCGGTCCCGCAGATTCCCCGCAGTCCCGGTTCCCAAAATTCCGGCGTCGCGGGAGGATGCCTTCCCCCGGACCTAGTTCACTCCCTAGCCGCCCCGCCCCTCGCCGTCCGGGCCGGGGGCGGGGCGAGGATCGACGCAAGCGCCGTGAGTGCACCAGGGCTGTTGCTGTGGGGACGGCTCCGCCGGACCCCAGCTCTACGGGGACCCACGCACGCTGGCCTGGGAGGAGGCTTGCCCAGCTCCCGCTCTCCACCTCCACTTCCAGCCTCCTGCCTGGCAGTTCACTCCACAGTCACGTCTGCGGTTCTGTGGCTGCCGCCTTTTCCTGCAGCGCCAGGCTCCGTCCAGCCTCAAAGTCGAGTTAAGTGCTGCCTCTGTGCACTGCGGTTGGGTCAGAACAACCCCCTCATGGAGGTTTCAGACGTTGGCCTGGAGAAGATGCAATTTTATGTACTCCTCTAAGGGTAAAAAAGTTAGCCTTGCATTAGTGGGGACGTGAGTAGGGGGAGGATCGTCTGTCTTCCTGTTGGCAAAATTTTTAGGTGCTGTGGGGGATGCTTAGCTAGATAATGGCAGTCACTGATCCCCGCGGGGTGAATATCAATGTCTAGGAAGAAGAGTTGGGTAAATGTGCCATCTTTTTGCATGAATTGAGTTGAATCTGTAAGTAGGCCTAGAGGGTATCAATTGCAGATTGGAGCAGAACACAGACAGGACTGTAGGATGGATGTCTCAAAAACGAAAGATGTCAGAAGATTCTAAAACTGAAAATAGCAGCATGCTATTAAGAAATATGGAGATAAATTTAGAAGAAACGCTTAAAAGAATCGAAACTGGTTGCCTATGGACAGGAGAAAGGCAGCGGACAATAGTTACTTCTTATAATAAGCTTTGTAGAATTATTTTACATTTTATTTTTTTGAAGATTTTATTGGGGAATTGAGGAAGGGGAACAGCCAAGTTATTGTCCTTCAATCTTAGTTGTGGAGGGCGCAGTCAGCTCAGCTCCAAGTCCAGTCGCCATCCGGCAGCCCTTTGGCAACTTAAGGCTAATCAGCTCAAGGTACCCTGTTCTATGTTAGTTGCGGGTGGGCGTAGCCCACCATCTTGTGGAGTCTAACCGGCAACCTTGTTAGGAGCTCCCACCAGCTGAGCCATTCTCCCACCTGTTGGCAGCTCAGCTGGGGCACAGCTCACTGGCCCATGTGGGAATTCAACTGGCGACCCTGTTGCTCAGAGCTTGCACTCTTAACCAACTGAGCCACCTGGCACCACACATAGTTATTACAATATTATTGTTGACTATATTCCCTATGCTGTACTTTATATCCCTGTGACTATTTGTAACTACCAGTTTGTAATTCTTAATCCCTTCACCTTTTTTACCCAGCCCCCATAATTGTTAAAAAAAAGAAGAGAGAGGAGGAGGCAGAGGAAGAGGAGGAAGAAGAGGAGGATAAGAAGAAAGGAGGTGGGGTGGGATCATAGCATCAGATCAGAGGCAGAGCTCAGAAATTTGAAAAAGCAGTTCTTTATAGATGATTAATTTCCTAAGAGTAAAAATTCTTGCATCCAACAATAAGGGGTGAATAATATAGATTATGGTATACCCATAGGACAAACATTTGGCAGTCATATAAAAATCAGCATTTTAGTAGAACGCTTCCTGACATAGATTGTTAAATTTAAAAGACAGGAAATAGTATGTGTCATATAAGAACATACTATAGTTAAAAAATTAAACCTATATGCCTAGAAAAAAGACTGGAAGGTATCAAGGGTGATTATTTTATGTTTCCTCCTCTCCCTGCTCTACCTCCACCCCATTTTCTGTAGTGAACATGTGTTTACTAGCTATATCCCTATACTGATTCGCTAACGGAACTGAAGTTATGAAGATATCATTACCCTATGCTGCTTTACTTCTAGGTTCCTTGATATTTGCAAACCTTCCTGAGAATAATATAGTCACATCTGAAGCAGTCCCTATAATTCAGTTACTTTCGCATTGGGGACCAGGGAGGAAATAGGGATTACAAAGTATTAACCTGCAAAATAGCTGTGTTTCTTGTAGCTGAAAAAACACAATGCAACAAATAAGTTGAACTAAAAATCATGTCAACTTGATTGCTTTGTATATGTTGAGGCTGCTTTTGCATTGGTCTGTCTTTTTTATTAGATTTCTGGACTGTAAAAACTTAGAGGATGTACAACAGCTGTCTTATTTTAATACACTGAATTAAACAAATTTGTAGGAATGCCTACTACATTCCAGGTATTGTGCCAGGATATTGAAACAGTGGATATGTTCCCTGCTCTCATGAAGCATACAGAATAGAAGGGAAGATAAATGATTAAATAAGTAATTACAAAAAACTTGATGAGTAAGATGATTGGGAAAGTACAAAGGAGACAGACCTGGTCTGGTGAACCTCTCAGGATCTAATGTTTAAGGTTCAAAAACTCTTAGTCCCCTGACATAGAGGGTATTTGTACATACTTGTTTAATTGGTAAATAAAGAAGATCCTGTAAGTCGATTCTTGGGCTGACTCACAGGTTCGTATACAATCTTTGGTTAAGAGTACAGAACACTAAGAGATCCAAACTGAACTGCATTTCCAGGCTCATGTATGAACAAACCCCTCAATGAATCAGAGATCCAATAGACTAAGGATAACCCAGGGCCAAGCTGAACTTTCACGGTAGCTCTTGAAATGTTGAGCTTGATAGGCGGAGCATGCATCTCTAGAACTGGACTGGAGCCAAATCTGCTGGGGAGAAGTAGGGAGGAGCATGATTTATCCAACACTTAATTTTTTTTTCCCTCTTGCAGGAAGTCATTATGTGACTAACACATTTTCATCAGATTTCTTCTGATTTACCTTGAAGTGTATGTGAGAATGATGTGCACTGCCAAGAAATGTGGAATTAGGTTCCAGCCTCCAGCTATTATCTTAATCTATGAGAATGAAATGGAGGGGAAAAGTCGCCAGCGCATCATGCCCGTCCGAAACTTTTCAAAGTTTTCAGGTGCCTCGTGTTTTATCTTGCTTCCTATCTTAAGTATTCTCTAAATCACTTAATACGAATGATTTGAGTCTTATGTAATGGCATGACATGGCCTTCATAGTTAGACAGACCTAGGTTCATATCATGTCTCTATCAGGGTAGATGTGTGACCCTGGCTAAATAACCTACTTACTCTCAGTGAGCTCTAGTTTCCTAACCTGTGAAAGGAAATTGATAATCCCACCCTTTCAGAATTGAAGTGTGGGTTAAATGAGATAGCATTATTCAATAATATTAATTCCTTTCTCCCTCCAAATGTGTTATTTGTAGTCTTGATATTTTCTTAGTACGAGTACTAATATCTGAAGCTGTAATACTATATTTTCTTCTCAGACATTTTCTCCAGTCGAAAGTGTTTAACATCTCCTCAAAGTAATTTTAAGGAAATCAAAAATACATACCTCCTTCCCCCACCACACTCAAAGCGCGATGTAAAGGAATAGTTCTGCAGAATCATTCATTCCATAAAAGCCATTTAGCTACATGGCTATAATGGCAGATAGCGTTTTCAGTAGTTGGTGGTGCACCGATAGTTTGTGGTGTATATGTATGGTATATAGTTTTGTTTCTCCTTCCTAGATTGCAACAGAGCTGCTGAACAATTAAAGAATAATCCACGACACAAGAGTTACCTGGAACAAGTGTCCCTGAGGCAGCTAGAGAGGTTATTCAGTTTTTTACAAGGTTACTTGTCGGGACAGAGTTTGGCAGAAACAATGGAACAAATTCAACGGGAAACAACCATTGATCCTGAGGAAGACCTGAACAAACTAGATGACAAAGAACTTGCCAAAAGGAAGAGCATCATGGATGAACTTTTTGAGAAAAATCAGAAGAAGAAAGATGATCCAAATTTTGTTTATGACATCGAAGTTGAATTCCCACGTGATGAGCAACTGCAGTCCTGTGGCTGGGACACAGAGTCAGCTGACGAGTTCTGATACCCAAAACAAAACATGTATTGGGCTAGCAGAAAATCCATGCTTATACAGAGGATGTAGATTGGTTCTAGAAAAATTCGTACAGAACACTAATTGTACATGTGGGGTCATATTTGGATTGACCAGCACATGTGGAGCATCTACTGTATAGGCGCATGAGGAATATAGGGAAAACAGAATGTAGGAGTCTTCCTTTTAGGAGCTTACAATCTATTTGGAAAATAAGTCAAAAACTTGTGAAAAACTAATTAGCAGTATTGGCAGCAAAAAGATTAAAGCCAAGTGTTTGATAATGGCTAAAGAGGGGAAGAGCCTAGATTACTGTAGAGTAGAATAGCCAGGAAAGACTGTCCTTTACTGGTGAAATGAGATTTTGTGTGACTTTTGAAATGGTGGTATTTGGATAGAAGGTTATATAGGATTCCAGATGAGAGAAACTGGGAGGGGAGAGAATGGGGGGAGGGTAAGTAAAGAGATAGGAATTCGAAAATTTTAATTGAGAAACAGCAAATTTTAGTTTGATGAGATTGGAAGGCACATATGGTTACCAGGGGACTACCCTGTATGCATTATATCTTTATAAGTATTTAACTGTTTTATATGTATTTAACTCTGGAGTAGAAGAGGACTCCTACACAATGCCCTGAAGCTGCAAGCGCATGTCATTTGGTGGACAGCGGTGGAATTCTGCCTCTCCGGTATCAGGAAATACATACCAAAGACATTCTGAAACCCCAAACCTCTTCCCATAACTAAGAGGTTTGTTTTTAAAATGGGAACTCTACCCATAATAAATGAACAATAGGCACTGCCAGTTTAGGCTTATTGAGCTTGGATTTACAAAGAGAAGATCTTTGTTGAACAAAGCTATGTGTGTGCAGCTATACCTTCTTATTAGATTATTATTTAATTGGTGGAAATCCTATGTATTCTGCAAGGAAATAACTTATTAAATAAAATTGTAAAAATTACTCTTTCTACCTGTCCATTCCTACTCTCTTTACCATTGAAAGCCTCATTAAAGAAAGGGATCATTCTTAGAGTGATATCACCAGGGACTTAATGATGGTCGTGTCTCATATATATATTTGCCAAAGGTAGCAAAGAATTTTCAGCATTGGAGATCCTTTCATATCTACATAGTACTCCAATGTATAGATGTAGATGATGTATTTTAAAAGTTGATCTTAGGTTGTGTTCCCCTTTCATTATTACAAACAATGCCACAGCAAATAGCCTTGTACATTTTCTATTTTGCACGTGCACAATTATAAATGATGCCTAGTCAGGAATTGCTGGGTATGTACATTTTTTTTTAAGGTTTTTATTGGGGAATTGGGGGAGGGGAACAGTGTTGGGGAATCGGAGAAGGGGAACAGACAAGTTGCTGTCCTTTTGTTCTTCAGTCTAGTTGTGGAGGACATCACTTCACTGGCCCATGTTGGCATTATCATTATGCTCTTCCCGGGTGAGGCAGTCAGTCGCTGGCCATTGGACAGCAGCTCATGGCAGCTCACGAAAGCTCACGCCCGCTGCCGGCCAGCCCCACTGCAGCCTATGCCGTTGCTGGCCGGCGACTCACTGCAGCCCAGCTCCAGGTCAAGCTGTTGTTCACCATCTTAGCTGTAGAGGGCACAGCATTACTGGCCCTCATGTGGGATCTGAATTGGGGCCCAGCTGCTCAGAGCTGGCGTCCCAAGCCAACTCCTAACCAACGCGCCACTCGGCCGGCCCTGGGTATGTACATTTTTAATTTTAATAGACATTGCTAAGTTTTCCTCCAAAGAGTTTCCTTCCTTCCTTCCTTCCTTCCGTATTATGTACTTAATGAGTGCCTACTGCATGCTGAGCCTGTACTATTCTAGAGTCGGGATGCAGCAGTATATACAACAAAGTCCTTGCTTTTACAAGGTTTACAGTCTAGTTGGAAAGGAGAGAAATACATATATAGTAGTGTCATATGATAAGTGCTCAGAATTAAAAACTAGGTAAAAAGAGAATAATGGAGGGAGTGAGAGCCACTGATTTTGACAGGGTAGTCAGAGAAGGCCTCGCTGAAGAGGTGACATTTGAGCAAAGGCCTGAAGGAGGTAAGGAAAAATTGATGTGCATTTCAGGTATAGGGAGACAGGTATGTGCATAGGCCCTGGGGCTGGAGTGTGCTTGGCATATTTGAGTGAGAGCAAGTAGGCCAATGTGGCTAATACAGACAGAACAAGAGGAATATGGTAGATGAGGTTTGAGTGTATTTTACCAAAGCCTAGTACTTAATAATAAAGGTTGTACCAACTTAAACTATCACCAGTACACAAGAGTATCTGTTTTCCCCACATGCTCATCAACAGAGTGTTATCAAACTTGTTGATCTTTGCCAGTTTCATAACTTAAAAATGGTAGCACATAGTTTTGATTTGCATTTCTCTTATGAGTGAGTCTGAGTTTAAGAGCCATTTTTAATGAAATAACTGTTGTGTCCTTTGCTCATTTTTCTCTTGGGTTACTGGTCTTTTTCTTACTAATTTGTAAAAAGGTCTTTATTCAGGAAAATAGTCCTTAGTCTATGATATGAGTTGCAGATATTTCCACTTTTGTCATTTGTTTTTTTACTTTATTCATGATATTTTTTCCAGGCAGATTTTTTCCAGTCAAATTGACCAATATTTTTCTCTGGGTTTCTGCATTTTGTGTCATATATAGAGAGGCATTCTTCAAGATATTTTTAATCCCATGATTTTTTTCTAAACAGGAATTTTGGTATAAAATGTGAAATTTTATTCCAACTTTACTTTTTTCCAAATGCCCATCCAACACCACTGTCTATTGAATTACCCATCTTTTCTCTTCTTGATTTTAAATGCATCTTTTATCATATACTAACTTTCCATCTGTATCAAAATAGTTATCTTTTGATTATATTAATGTCATCTGGAGCACACTTCTGAATCCATGGGTTTTTTTTTATGTTTATTGAGCACATCTCATGTGTTCACTAAACTAAAGCTATAGAAAGATATAAACTGGGCCATAAATTTTGCCTAGCAGAAGGGGGAGATCATGTGAGTTGAGCAGTTGTGGAGGTTTTTTTCCTCCACTTACATGTCCAAAGCTAATTCTCCTGCTGAGCTCTTTAACATTTTTTCCATTATAAAATTAACAAATATTCAATATTCATTACCATATGCCTTGATACTTTAAAGGAAATTTTAACCAGAGCCATCTGTCATCACTATTATTAAATATTTGTTGATTTCATTGCCCCTCTTCTCTGTTATTAGATACTGGCTCCTACATAATCTTCACATTTTTGGTCTGATGCAAAATCCACCAACAAGAAGCTTAGGACTATTCATTATTTCTGATAATGACCACAGAAATAGAATGGATAAATTAAAATCCTAATGTAATCCTGAAAGTTAATTTTATCCAAACTTTTAATCTCTTCCCTTGCTTTACCGCTTTTCCCTCTACACCAGCGCTTTCATCCTGAAATTAGAGCTATCAACTAGTAACAATAGAAGATTGTTACTAACAAAAGAGATTTATGTTTTCTCTCTCTCATATCACTTTATTATTTGAGAAGTACTAGCACACTCTGAAACAACTAAAAGACTAAGAGAAGTATATATAAACTTTATATAAAAACATATAATTTATATATAGAAATATTTAAGCTTGTGTTAATAAAAATTATACAGAACTTACAAATAAGGCAAAAGATGAGGGCCACATGTCTTTTCAATATTATACTGCAGGATTGTTTAAAATTTTTCCCAAGGATTACTTAATTTTCTAGGACAATATATCTGTGTTTGACTTTGCTGTTTACTATTTATTTGATTAGAGCCCAGACACTGTGCAGTTACATGTTAACTTGAAAATTTCTGTCCAGCAGAGAAGATAACCTATAGGTTTATTTGCCTATGGGGCATTAACTACTTTTGTACCTAACCTAGCAATCATTCTAACATTTCTTGTGGAAAGCCTATAAATAGTTCTTCAAAATACTTTTTGAAGCAGCATTATCATCTTATTGGTCCCCTACATCAATGAGTTAAGTGGTAATGATATATTGGTATGAGAGTAATGTTTTTTTTTTTAATTTTTGAAAATTATACTTTGACACCTGATAACCCATATGAAAAAAGGATTAACATCTTTTTAGTCTTTGGGGTATGTTTTTGATATGATGGGCTGACATAGTTTAAACTTTCAACTTGTGGCCTTTCCACCTGTGAGAAGAGCTGGGAACAGGAACAGAAAGAGTGGAAATCTTGAGGCAAAAGAGAAAGAGGCCAAGTTGAGAAGTCAGACAAGTAAAAGACAACTGCCATATGAGGAGTATCGTCGTAGTCTCCCCCGCCCCCACTTTGGTTCCCTGCTGGCCCAAGCAAGCAAGCTGTGTTACTATCTTTCTGATACTGCCTCTGGGCAGGTGCACCCTAGCAGTGTCAAGTTAACAGTGGGACTCCAGAATAAAAGGGCTCGTGGACAGCCCTCTGGTTGGAAAAGTTGGGGGTGAGAGTAATAGCTAGGAAAACTGTCTTGAATATACATAGCAAGTGCATTGTGCATCTTAAAGTCCCTCCCAGTCTGCCATTACCCACAGCCATAGTTTAATCTTACTGAAGCTAGGATGTTCCAGCTATTGCTGCTAAAATTAAAAAGAAGAAAAGCTCACAACCATCAGAGGGCAGTATTTGTTTTTTTAATTTTGGCACTAAAAGGATGTTAGTCATATTTTCTGGAAATTCAAACAATGCGCCTACATCCACATCCTGGGTGAGTGTTGGGGTGAACTTTGCTCAGCCTTTATATCATTTTTAAGTAATCTTTTTTTTAAATGCTAGGTCTGTGTCATGCTTAGATTCATTCATTTTAAGCACTTAATATGTGCCAAGCACTATTCTAGGTAATAGGGATACAGAGGAGAACAAGACAGGATCCCACTTTCAAGGAGCTCACATTTCAGTGGGAATAAATATGTAAGTAAAGGAAAATATCATATGATCACACATGCTGTGCAGATAAATTTAAGTAGGGTGATATGGGTTGAATCCTTCATTAAATCACCATTCCCTCCTGTAGAATCTTAAAAGCAAGACAAGGAAAAACATTTTATCAGCCCGATAAAGCTACAAATGCAAATTCTAAGATCATGGAACTAAAACACTTGTATGACCAAGTCACATTTTATAACATTATATGCCCAATGAGCTCTAGTCTTAAAATCCAACTTCATCTTTTTCTAGCTCTTTTCAATTTTTGTCCATTTCTACACTTGACTTCATTTTCTTCAAAAGGCTGATCAGATGTCACCCTAAGGAAAAGGAGCCAGGAATTACTTGTCCTGCTCTCCCTCCTTTTTGGTCCAAGCCTTTCAGCCACAGCTGAACCGGAACCTTCCTTTCTGACCATGGGGTAGGGCTTACGTGGCTTGTGTGTGTAGGAGCAGCTGCATGCAGAGTCATTACTGAAGCTGATGGCTGAGGAAGATCCCTCAGAGGACAGGATACCTTAATCTTCATCCCTTCCCCTCACTTTCCTCATTTGCAAAATGAAGTATTCATATCTGTTTTCACTGGGCCAGTGTGAAGATGAAATAAGATAGTGTATGCACAGTATCTGACAAGGAGAAAGTATTCCAAGTAGAAGTTTAAACAAAGT